GATGTCAGTCATCTATTGAAGCAGTATAAAGATGGAAAGAAGTTTAAGGTGTAAATGAAATATTTAAGCTATGTTTAATGATTAACAAACCTAATACCGGACCGAAGCTTAATTAATTATGATAAACCATAATGCAGTTGAACATTACTTTTACACATATAGTGTGGTACAAAATATTCATTCTCAGGACCAACTTAAAATTCTATTCAATAAGATATATACAAACGAACATTCATTCCGCCTTTTCATAAATATTTTTTAGCTTGCTGTTTGCAGCTGATTTTCCCGGACGACCAGTGCAGACCAAGAACAGCAGGTACATCCGCGCTAACTGATCGCGGTCTGCACTGTTCACTTTTCAGTCACTTCATACTTTGATATTTTTCTCTTAAAGTAATGAATGGTTTTGTCCAGATTAAAAGATGGACAAGTCCATTTGAGATATTTAGTGTTTTAAGGGTTTAAATCTAAAACGAAATTACCTCCATTTCTAGCTTAGGTTCAAAGATATGTTGATCAAATAATTCTTTGTATCTTCGTAAACCAATGATTTGTTCAAATAGTTGTCAAACGATGTCACAACAGTCTTTATTTAGGCCTGTATGGTCTTATACATGTACATTCAGCTAGCGCACAAAATATACGAACATTTCATTCGGCATGAAATAATACGACAACGTATATATACATATGTATGTAGACTTAAAACAAATATATTCTTTATAGAAAATCACTGACGTTTAAAAGTCATCGTCTTTCACATTTGATGTTTTTCACACTTTCGTATGACGCGTTTGAACGGATCGCACCGCTGGTCTTACGTTGGCACAAAAGAAAGTATCCCAAACTGTTTCAATGTTCGATATGTCATAGATTAAGTAATCATTTTCAGAATGTTTATTATTTATAGATTTATGAATAAATAATTAAAATGTTATATATGACCCAAGAAAGAAAGAAAATACAAATTTGTGAAATGACACTAACCGGAAAACCACAGGAACCCGAAATTCTATCCAAAACAAAAAATAATGATTTAAAAAAAATCCCATATATATATACTTTATTTATAGTATATATATGGAATTTTTTTTTAATCATTGATAGAATTTCGGGTTCCTGTGGGAAAACTTAACATTATTTCAATTCACATATAATGTCGATTTGCTGCAGGATTAAATAACATTTTTCAATTTTATAATTTTTTTATGCTCTGCAGAAAATGTGATATTGTACCGCGTATCGCTCAATGTGTGCGCGTTTATATTGACAGGGGAGGTAACTAGTTTCACAGCTCAGGATACAACAGTCAGGCTTACCACCCCTTGCTCGCTATTTGTCGTAATTATTTGTTTGATTTTCGTTTTGTTTATCTGTTGCTTTATAATTATAATTTACAGTCTAACCCCCCTACGCTCAATCATTTTATCATAATTTCTCTTAAATATACTCTTTTAGAATGCTAAAAAACAATAATGTGTCTATAGTCTATGCACAGTAAGGCTGAAGCTTGATATCTCAAAATGCTTAAATCAAGTCTTTAGTTGAGATCACAGGGGGCCCACACAGTGTTTGGATGGTATATACTGCTTGATAGTGACCTTAAAATGAGATTTTAGTCATAACCTTATAATATGTATATAAATATAGACAAGGGGCATTACTCGCTAAATAGAGAATTTTCGATCACCCTCAAATTCATGCGAGATTTTCCACTAATTAAATAAAAAAATCCAAAAACTATACTGCGTTGCATAGCTTATATAATCCACAATTGATAAACACTAACTCTATTCTGATTCCCTTAGCCCATTTTAAGAAATTTATTCAAAACCGTTCACTTCTGTCACAAAATTGCTTAGTCGTACGAGATGTCGCAACACCAAATTCCACGGGTAAAATATCAATTTTAAAAGGGGTAGGTACAAATAAACGCATGCAAACAATAACACAACATAGTTTCTATTATCTACCTGCGCAAATAGTCGTGAAGCGCTCTATGTTCGTCTGTTCCGAACGAAATCTTCAAATCAGTGCAGAAAAATCGCTTCGGCGAATACATGTTGGAAATTCTGGTCATGGTGTATGGAAACCTTTCATTGGTTGCCGTTATATACAAAGTTCCTGCCGAACCAATGAAAGGTCTCGATACACCGGCTGGTCACGTGACCGGGGTTTCCCCAAGATGTCTACGTCGAAGCAGATTTCTGCTCTGATTTGAAGATTTCGTTCGAAACAGACGAATATAGAGCGCTTCACGACTATTTGCGCAGGTAGGTAATAGAAACTATGTTGTGTAATTGTTTGCATGCGTTTATTTGTACCTACCCCTTTTAAAATTGATATTTTACCCGTGGAATTTGGTGTTGCGACATCTCGTACGACTAAGCAATTTTGTGACAGAAGTGAACGGTTTTGAATAAATTTCTTAAAATGGGCTAAGGGAATCAGAATAGAGTTAGTGTTTATCAATTGTGGATTATATAAGCTATGCAACGCAGTATAGTTTTTGGATTTTTTTTATTTAATTAGTGGAAAATCTCGCATGAATTTGAGGGTGATCGAAAATTCTCTATTTAGCGAGTAATGCCCCTTGTCTATATTTATATACATATTATAAGGTTATGACTAAAATCTCATTTTAAGGTCACTATCAAGCAGTATATACCATCCAAACACTGTGTGGGCCCCCTGTGACTCGCGCATTAATAAAAGAAGAACTATTTTCGTGACTCATACCGCGGGTTTAGCTGAATATTCAGCAGTTATTAATATATTAGATACAGTTCAATGGCTAGTATAAATATCTATTTTTGAAAATGCATGTAAGACACTTTACCGCCATGTAGTCTTGAAATCATGGTAAGGAAGTTATAATATCAGTTCTACTTCCGATTCTTGTGGTTTGTTTACATATTTTACTAGGTCATGATATGAGTTAACCTTCGATATTCTAAAAATAGATTCTGCTTTACCTGTTCTGATTTTTGGACAGGCGATTAGGAAGTACACATTAAACATGTAATTAATAAACCAGCGGATTGTAATGCAATACTTTTAGAAATGCTATACAATTGTAAGAAGCAAACAAGTTGAAAATGGAATTTAGTGTGAAGTTGAAAAGGACAACTAAACACTGTAGTGCTTAAGTGACATTTAAATAAAAATAAAAACGATGTGCTCTGGCCTCTACATCTTTACCTTGTAAATAAAAAAATCTAAAAAATACACTATTAATTGCTGATGATTTTAACCAATTTTTTTTTAATGAGACATATCCAAGAGAAATAAAAATACAAATGACTTATATTTTATTGTCTGTATGCCCACTATGATATAACACGAATCAATTCTAAATAGCATTCTCAAATGTACAATGTATTATGTTTGAAGTTTATTTGCCTGGATTTATTTTAGAAATATTTCGTTGATAGTTTTTTTCTATTTACATATCATTTCTTAGAATAAATCGATAAGGACACTGATTTATAAGTTTGACCAGAGTTTTTAGGCATAAATTTCATTCTGTATTTAAGTGCTTGAAAGTAGAAAATCTGAATTATATCAATTTGGGACACAAAATATATTGCTCTACAAATCTCGAACTTGTATGGAACAAATTTTCTCTGTTATATATTTTGTGTTTTGTTTTTGTTTTGTTTTTGTTTTATTTTGTTTTTCTAAAAGAAGCCTTGGTGTCTCTCCGGTTGCATGTCCGTCGCATTCAGTGCTGCAGCACTTTGATTAAACAAAGTATCTGTAAGATACGGTGGCATAGAGGGGACATCAGAAATATTTTATCTATCACGTGCGCACGCGATGGGGGAGGTCAGAAATATTTTATCTATCACGTGCGCAAGCGATAGCTACTACGTGCGCACGCGATAGCTACTACGTACGTACGCTACTACTAATACGTGCGCACGCGACAGCTACTACGTGCGCACGCGATAACTACTACATGCGCACGCGATAACTACTACGTGCGCACGCGATAACTACTTCGTGCGCACGTAATACCTTCCATTTCTAAAATGGACAGGGAAGTGCTTATTCATGCCTTGTTTGAAATTAAAAGCTATCGCGTGCGCACGTAATAAATTGTACGTCCGCACGTAGTAGCTATCGCGTGCGCACGTAGTAGTCATAGGGTGCGCACGTGGTAGCTATCGCGTGCGCACGTGGTATTTAAATATTTTCCGATGTCCCCCATCGCGTGCGCACGTGACAGATAAAATAATTCTGATGTCCTCCATCGCGTGCGCACGTGATAGATAAAATATTTCTGATGTTCCCCATCGCATGCGCACGTGATAGATAAAATATTTCTGATGTCCCCCATCGCATGCGCACGAGATAGATAAAATATTTCTGATGTCCCCTCTATGCCACCGTAGTAAGATACTTACTGTACTGTAGAATAAAGGTCGACTTCAACGATTATTTTTATTCCGCTCCAGCCCAGGTTTTAGCTTAAAACTCGTTCAACGACCTTGACTGAAAAATGTAAACAGAAAACTAAATATAGATCTAGAAAATCCAGCTCTCGCCGGTTTTGTCCAGCAAATACTAGTTTTTCATTGGTTAGTAACTGGGATTGATCGCCATACACCATATCACATTCGAGCGCCGAACAAGAAATATCGTCAAGAGTATCCACGCATAATCTGGCCGGCTTTTAAAGCCTCGCCAATTAAAAGTTCGTTTATTTTCAAGTGTGAAGTGCAACTAACATTCGAGGAAGCACGCGGCAAGAGCTGTGGTGTTTTCACTTTATTTTGAACTTTAATCATGTTGTAAACAGGCTCCCAGGGGTAGGTGCCCCTGTCCGTACTAACGGAAGGACGATCTCTTTACAAGTGTCAACATTCCAAGTTTTATATAAGTTTTTCGTTAATAAAATATCAAAATAGAAAAAGAATGGAATCATCATTGTTAACGGTAAGTCATTTATTCTGAATAAGGCTGTTATTTGTAATGTTACGAAGTTGCCTCCCTTGGCGCGATGATGTAAACAAGGTCAAAAATAACAGGCATGGATCACGCGGGTTTCAGCAGGAAATGAACATACGGTTGTAACTGGATTAAACGGATGTCTTAACTAGTTGCCGTATCATTCTAAGTTGAAAACCGTCAATATATATTTAATTGTTTAATTACCTTAGATGGACAGAATCTGTGCATGTTTGGCAGAAAATTTGTGATATGTTGAAAATGAATAAATTATCATAATGTGAATGAAAAATGTTAACATAAACATGTGCTGATTGCATGATATTCTGGAGTGATCTTATACGGTAACCCTTTGAATGGATAGTAAAGATACTTTAATTGAATTTCAAGAAGATTCACGAACCAATTTTAAGGTAAGTTATCAAATATCTAAAGTATCTTTTTTTTGTCACTCCTGTATCATGTTTATCATTAAATGAGAGTCTCACTGTCAAAGAAATGGCCTAGAGCAAAAGAGTTGTAATTTCTACTTCATGACTCATGTTATGTGAATTCAACTTCATGTTATGTAAGTTGTTTCACACCATGCCTGTGAAATAATTATTTGTGCATATATGATTAATTATAAAAATGAGTGGGAAATTAAGTGCATGTAAAATTGTGTAAATTGTAATATTCATTATAATCATAATCTGCTGGATTAGATCCCTATGAATATTTCAGAAGTAAACCTTGTGTAAACGGAATGAACCTTATATACACTTACTCTTGTGGTTTAGACCTGGGGTCTATTCCAGGATATAGCCATTTTTTCATTAAAAATTCTTAAATCGCTGTCCTTCAAGGCTTAATTTTATCATAAGCTCATAACAATATTTAATGATAATTAATCAGTAATGAAACTAACGAGTCACCATATTCACAATCGTTGACAAGTGTCAATTAACAATTTGATTGTATAGCATGCCAATTTACTGAAAGTGTGTATACTTAAATGAAAAGTTAACATTTTACAAGATTTAAGAAGATCATATTATATAAATATGCTTGAACATCACTGATATTAATACTATAATTAGATTTCTGTGACTGTCCTTGACTTGTTTCTGTATATGTCTTGAAGTCTCATGACAACATGGAATATTTTCCATGGCACAAAATGTGTCTCTTGGTAAATTTCCATCGTCATGTCCAGGAGGCTTGATAAAACTAAAAACATCGGCATAGCATACTGACGTGGAAGATGCTTGCCATGTTAGGTCAACCGTCATGATGAGCACATCACTCTGACACTTGCCAGTGTACCTGCTTAATTTTAAAGGAAATTTATTATAAAAACCACATAATGTCAACAAAGAAAGTTTGGGATAGTTCTGGCATGATAACAATCTGTTTTAAGATAGATGTTACCTTGACATTATCATCCATCTTGTAAGTGGAAGATTAGTTATGGAATGATGGCTAAAATATCACCTTGACCTTAGAAGTTTTACCATCACTTATTAATGGATAGTTAATCTGAAATATTGATCAGTTTTAACTAATGACAGTGTTTGAATTGATTTTCTTGGATACAGTTGTGGAAAAGATGCCTCATACTAAGGTTTGAATTTTTTGAACCATGGCTACTGTTAGTACATAAGGCAGGAAAGAAATTATTTATTGGTGTTATAAGTTTCTTTTGTTCTCCTTTCTTTGGTTATGTTAACAGATTGGTGATCCATTTCATTATTTAAAATCGGTTGTATTTTCAGTCTGTAGATTAAACTGCCCCCTCAAACGAACATATTGGTTGTTTTCATTGGCACATCCACAAATGAAAATGAAAACCCTGTATGTCATATAAATGATTATAGTTTATACAAGTTGTTAATGTTTTCATTCTTTCTATTTTCAGTCCCCAGTGGTAAAATCTTTCCTTGCTGGTTCCCTTAGTGGAACATGTTCAACCTTACTGTTCCAGCCATTAGATCTGGTAAAAACAAGGGTTCAAGCCTCAATAAGTGTAAATGGGTGAGTCATTTATACAGTTTTAAGTTGTAACAATTTTTGCATTTATAACACAAACACATATACCATGGCATGAATCAGACTATTAGTTTATCATTCTCTTGTTTTTATCTGACTTATTTTGTTGATTTAGTAAGTTTTATATATATATGGGCCAACAACTTAAAATACTTCATTAGAATAACAAGCATACTACCAAGATATTGGCACTTGTGATAATGATACCGAAACTCCGGCTAACAAAAACTTGCATTTATATTTACATGTTATGTATAGGAGAATAATTTGTTTTTCAGAGCACGGCCAGCTGGCATGGTATCCATTGTTGCAAATGTTGTTCAACAGGATAAAATTGTGGGTCTCTGGAGGGGCCTTGTACCGGTAAGTGTGCATTTGCTAGATTAATCTTGAAATGGTGTTGATTTATAATTACTAATGAAATATAAAATTACTAATGAAATAAAAATGTAAACATGTATTGATTTTGAGCTCATTTTCTCATTTAATTGAGATCTTTGGTCTACATGTATTTTAAAGTTGATTTTCCCCCAAGTTTTATGCATGTTATTAATTCTTTAATATTGCACACTTTCATATTGAGTTTAATGATGATGTAGTGACATTCAATTTACAATGTTGTAGTGACATTGAATTTACCTGTTTTATTTTGATATGTTTGGTATATTCTTTAAACAGTCCATCTCAAGATGCGTGCCAGGAATTGGAATCTACTTTTCCACCATCCATTACCTGAAGGGTAAATTTGGGCACTCAAAGAGTCCCATTGAGTCGATGATCATTGGTGGAAGTGCTAGATCTGTTGCTGTGGTTACCATGCTGCCATTTACAGTCATAAAAACTAGAATTGAAGTGAGTTGTTCTGTTTGATTTATCAATGAAATATCTTCGTAAAATATTTGCTTTAGAAATTGTGATTTCAAAATGGGTTAAATCTTTATATTTAAAATCTATTTGTTAAAATAACCTTCCTTTATATATTTAAGTATATATAAAGCATACAAAATGATAATTTTTGCCATAACAGATTTTCAAAACTGTTCTTGAAATTGTAACTTAATGTTGAGGTTTGTTATTGTATACATGTTTCGTCTAGTGGTTCTACTCAGGTGCCCGTTTGTGCCTGAAATAATGCACGGAAGGGCACCTGAGGTCTTCTTCCACCAGTAAAGCTGGAAGTCATCAAATGACCTATACTGTGTCGGTGTGACGTTAAACCCAAAACAAACAAACAAACATGTTTCGTGATAAACAAAGAGATAAAAGATGTTGTCTTGTTGCAATTTCAGAGTGGTGAATTCAACTATAATAATATGTTCCGTGGATTAAGTGCTATCTACAAGCAAGAAGGTGCTAAAGGTAATGCAAACTTTTTAAAATGTGCTAGAAAGTGACGAAATTGATACTTGTATTGCACAATGCTGTTCTAAATGTGAAAAAAATATGTAGTTTTGTTTCTAGGCAAAGTTTTTGAAAATAGTTGAAAATTTATAACAATGACAGCCATGTACTTCTTTTAAATAGCAAAGAAAATTCAGTATTGTTAGTTGTAAGCATTTATAAATACAAAAATTTGTAAATATAAGTAACTTGTGATATTTTCTTTGTTTGAAAACCTGAAGGAAGCAAGGGCCTCTTTGTTTGAAAACCTGAAGGAAGCAAGGGCCAACTTGTTATTTTGAACAGTAATTGTTACTATTTTCAGAAAGAATAAATATTGCCAAGCAATAAAGAATGGGTATTATAATTAGCCACTAATGTACGGTAACCAGACTTTTTTAGAGGGGAAAAAAAGGTTTATTTGATTGTAGTAAGTAGTGAGATGTGTATACATTTCTAATGGTATGGTATCATTTCAGGTTTATTCAGTGGAATTGCTCCTACGCTACTCAGGGATGTGCCTTTCTCGGGCTTGTACTTCATGTTCTACACACAGTTGAAACACATGTCCATCATTGGTTAGTATACTAGTCTCACAAATACCTCTAGTCGATTATATTATATAATCACTTATGTAATTAGATAATCTTGATATCACAAATATTTCTTATGTCTTAACATTGCCTTTATTATTCTTATTGGTAGTAGTTACAAGAAATTTAAATGGAAGCTCAATGCAAAACTATTAAAAAAAAAATTGAAATGAAAAGCAGAAAGTATTGCAGTTCATTTGATAATTTATCACAATACTCCAATTAATTGATAATCTAAATAAAGATATTAAGAGAATGGGAGTATAATTTCATAAATTTATATAAAAATTTGACGATTGTATTTCATTATGATAAGCGAAGAAATATAAAAGAAATTCAATATTTAGTATCTTTATAAATAAGAGGAATACAATTTTATTTGGTGTATGTACTTCACAGATATTAATTAAAAAGAAAAATGAACGATTTTTGTGGCCAAAATTAATCCTTGAACTGTAAAAGTTAAATATAGGTCAGTATGTTGGTACAGAAAGATTAAACTCATCTTCATGGACATGTCTAAAATTTTCACTGATAAAAACTGTGTTTAGTTCATTGGGAGGGCATCACCTAAATTAGATAAAAATAAAATGCAGGTTTTGTGATAAAGGCGCTATTGACCTTCTGCAGTACATGGCAATACTGGAATTTAAAAAAAAAATGTTTAAAATTATGAAAATTATAAAAATGATAAAAAGCAATTTGTAACTATTACCAAATATTAGATTAAATAAAAATAACTCTGGTATTTGTATAAAAAGGTAATTTCATATGTCTTACAGTCATTAAGGTTAAGAGAACATATAAGATAATAATTTCTTTTAAAAATAAAAATATATGGTGAATTTTTAAACAATTGAAGTTAAATTTGATTTTGACTATATAATAATGGTTACAGTAAAGTCGTTTACAATTTTTCTTGCTATTTTATAACCTTAATGCTTTCAATTATTCTAACAAATATATAGCTTTTATGCTTGACTAAATGTAAACCAAATGGAATTAAGACAACTAAATGTAAATCAGCTATTTCAAATATTAACCATTTAACCATGTTAAATTGTTAAATAAAAGTCGCCTGTAAACGGTTTGACAAATAAAATTATGTTAACTTACTCCTTCCGAACAAATAGTGCAAAGATTTAATCTGAAAATAAAGTAATTCCTTGCAAAGTTTATAAAGGGATAAAATAGCAAAAAGATTTGTAAATGATTTTACATCAAAATTTATTGCGCAAGAAGAATACAAGTAAGATAAGATTTCATCGTAATATAAGATTATTTCAAGTATATAATGAAGACCCCCACCAACCTATTCTGCACCGGTGGAGGGTCACTAATCTGGTGTATTTTTTTTTCTGTGTTAACTTTATAGATCTTCCTCCTGCAGCTCACCAGTGCCAACTTCTACCCAAGGATCAGGTGACTATTGCGTCAGTGAGTTTTTCACGCCCACACCTCGCTGTAAAAAGCTGGCTGTTCTTTTGAGACCAGCGATTTAATGATGAACGATTTTATTTTCAGTAAACTATTTCTGTCATGTAGTTGTACATACCTGGTACCTAAATCTGCATGCAGAAAAAAACAGACTTTTATCTATTTTTTTGTTTTATATCTATAAGTAAATAGTAGTTTAAAAGTAGTTTAAAATAAGGAAAGTAATTAAAGTCGTAACTCTCATATATTAAGTACGCATCTTTTTTTTTGAAATTAAGAGTCTGGCTTTTGAAAGTATATTAGGTAGATTATTTTACTAACATTGAACGTAGCAGCTTTGCTGTATTCTACTAATTTATTTATTTTTTAAATTCAACAAAACTTATTCCTTAATAACAAATACTTAAAAAAAATGTAATTTTTCTTCTTTTTTTTTGAGGAATATATCAGAATTCTTAGATAAAGAAAGGTTTGATATTTTAATGTGGTATGACAATACAACTTATGTGGAAACTTCTTTTTTTGCAGAAAGTGTTCCTGATTCGGGACTTCCAATGTTGCACTTCTCCTGTGGGGTAACTGCGGGCATGATGGCCTCCCTTATTACACAACCTGCAGATGTTTTGAAAACACACATGCAACTGTATCCTAAACGATATGGGCGTTTAAGGAATGCTGCCAAATTTGTATACCAGGTAAAGTAAATTTGATGTAGTCTGTTACCTGTTTGATAGCATTGTCCGCATAGAAGCAAAAATGACATTTTGTGATATGGGATATCATATGTATTATTTGTATTCACCATTTCAAAATGTAGTCATTAGGCATTGAACATTTAAGCTGAACACAGATTTAAATATGAACAAATTTCCATTTACAAAAATGCTGAATTATACGAAAATTGTTCGAATATTTTTTTTCTGAATTCGTTCACAAATACTTTATTCATGTAACAGGTTTTCTTTTTCCAGTTCTAGGTATTATGTGTATAAGAATGAGTATATTGATGATCTTGTCAATCAAGCCCTTTGAATAGTTTTCAAGACTTCATGATATCTCAAATTAAATAAATATACTTATTGAAGTTTTTCTAGTATTGACTTAGCTTGGTTCTCTTAGGATGGGTTAAAAATATTTGAAACAATAGTTTCCTAAAAAAAAGTACATAATATATGATAAACTTGTGATATAATAAAAATATATGTTTTACAGAGAGATGGTTTGGAAGGATTTTGGCGGGGTATTATACCTCGGACAATCAGACGAACTCTCATGGCAGCTCTTGCATGGACTGTGTATGAAGAGGTATATTTATACATTATATTGTAATTTCTAATGCACTGGATTCAAAAAGCCTCAGAATTAATCTAGTTAAAAATCTGGAACTGTCTGTTGTTGTATAGAATGATTTCGATGTCAGACTTGAAATAATTCTGACATAAACCAGTCTTACTTGCTGCAAGCATGAACAGTGGAAACATTACATTATGCCTTGTTTTGTGATAAATCTATAGTGATTTGTGGTGATAAATCTTGTAGAGATTGTAATAAAACCATAAGATCTACATTATGTAACTGTGTAACAGATGCATTCAATTATCATAATAAATTATGTAGAGCAAGTACTGTCTGATAACTAGGACAAGTTCATGGGTTGTAACTAGGCCATATCTTTTAACTAGGACAATTTTTTTTGTAAATGAAAAAAGTAGGAATGAAATAAAATTGGTGTAGAAATAAACTTAAATTTATACATAATACTATTATACTTATTAGTGTACTGTACTAAATTTTAGTTATATTTATTTTCCAGGTTGCAAAGTCAGTTGGGCTTAAGTGAACATTATACCAACCTGTGAATCAAACTGACCCAAAACAGTTTGTAACTACCTTGCAAGGATAGTTCCTGAATTTTGAATTTGTTCATGTTGAAAGGAATGTTTGTTTCAAAGGATAGTTCTATACGGAACTTTCGAAGGATAGTTCTTTACAGAACTCTCAGACACTTGTAGATTTGAAACAGACTGAAAATTCTAGACAGTATTTTAAAAAAAAAAGAACAGTATTTTTCATAAAGTGAAAAACAAAATAGTTTTAGCAGACAAATGTAATACTAATAATATATAATTCTGGGGAAATATGGCTGAATTGACACACACTAGAATCATGAAAATGTTGATTGCAACCTGTGGTGAAAAAAAAAAGTTTTTAAGATGAAAATGGTTATTAAACAAGACAAAAAATGGGCTAAATGCAATACCAAAACATGCACAATTTTTATGAAAAAAAAGGTAAAAATAAAAATCATAAATTTTTGTTATTTATTGTAAGTAATTCATTATTTTTTTACCTTAAATTGAAATGACACCTTTTTGTAGACGAAATGCCCATTTAGCCCTAATTATGATTTGATATCATAATTTCATGTTTTTTATTTTATTTTGTAAATAGTTTATTATTAATAACATAATACTTATTTTGTTTAAATTCAGGGTATGATAATTTGTTATCATAGTTTCATGTATAAATGTGTACATGTATGGAGATCCAGAAGTTCCTCCATGTTGGAGAGTTTTTTGTTCCCACTATAAATAGCTGGGCCTTTTTTTTTGATAATATACCTCAACAGCTGGTCTTCTACATAGATTTATACATTTGAATCTCTTTGAGCATCGTATTATTGGAGTCAAAATTTCATACGATAATTTTCTATCTCAATATTCTCATTGCTTATAAGAGGTCTTAATATATAAGAAGTATTGACCTCTCTTATAATTATAAGAGGTTTTTTCTTGTATATTTTTATTGTTTACTTGTATTTAAAGTTTGGCACAGGCACATGTTTATTATTCGAACAAACATTACATGTATATATAAGCACAATTTCTGTACAATATTCAATAAATATATACAATGCCTGTTGCAAGTCTTTCATCACTTCATTGGGGCATTATTTTATAGCAAATATGAATTAATTTTAACACTTAAGTTTCAATAAGAAAAATTGTAAAACTGTAAAGAAAAAGTTCTTATGTTGTTATTTTAGAAAAAAAGTTGAAAAAAATAACTGCCTTTTAATTTCTCACTCCTTATGTCATTTTATATTTGTACATACATTTATTGTTGTTTTTTTTGTCAGTTATTCAAGTTTAATAACTGGACAGTTATTTTGAATTTTTATGCAGTTTTATGTGTAAGAAATCTTATGATTGAACTGTGTTCTATACATAACAGAGATGTGATGACATTTCTATTGTGTATAATTATTGTATCATTTTTATGTTGCAATTTTTAACATATCCTTTATAACTGATCCCCCCAAATAAACTATAAGATTTCTGTTCATGTACAGAATTTTTATTTTCTCTTTTGTGAGGCATGTGATCATATGTTTTCATATTTTGTTATGAATTTTGAAAACGTAAAGTTTTTTTATCATTGAAAAACCCGATCAGTTGTAAAGGATATGAACAAAATAAAAGTATTAAAAAATATCTTTGTTGTTTGTTGTTTATCTTCTGTAGTTATCTCTCTTGGCATAGTTTAGATAATTTGTTTGTTCAATTGTCTGATTTTGTTTGAACTGACACATTTTCTGCCAGTCGAAAGTGAATTTTAAATTTCTTTGGTGCGTTGATCACTATCTAGCTTGAACCTTGATGGGGTATCTAATTGTACATCCGCTTGTCCGAACTGTTACTTGGGAAAACGCACCTTTATGTCTTTGGTCTCAAAGCTGCTAACGATGTTGATTAATACATGTCAGGAAGCCAATTCGCCAATTGTTTACCATGCTGCTTGTATTCTGTCTGAAAGTTGTCTTCAAAGCTTGACCTACGGAGATAAATGGGTCATATATTATATACATGTATCTTGAAAAGTCCCTGTATGTTATCACACATCAGTTAACTCTTGTCAAACTATGTTCAACCGCCTAACATGTTTCTGTTTGGACGTCCGGGTATTTGGATCCCGTGACAGCTTGAAAATTATATGGGCGGTAAAAGATGGCAGTATGGAAATAATGCACGGCAATTTCCCTCTTCCGGTTAGATCTCTCGGTTGCTATGGTAACGAGAATAGTAAAGTTAGACTTTAAGAATATCCCCGAAATAATGAAAACGTATGGTTAGTCGACGAGGCTGCATTATGTAGAAAATTTACGGTATTTAGCTTTTCCCGTGTTGAGAAGGGGAAAAAAACTAGAAAAGGCATCCTAATGAGCATGTGTTCAAATAATGACGTCACAGATGACAAAATTAACACGAAAAAAAAAAAAGATATCTGAAAGCGAGAGCGACCCCGGGTTATCGACAATAAAATGATTCATTTAAAGTGACGAAACATAGAGGCGACATATAGGGGTTACTTCTCCATTATCTGTCCGTCCGTCCGTCACAAAACTTGTCCACTTGTACCACTAATGCAATTTCAATGAAACTGTACAGGTCAAGTCCTTGCGCATATTGCACGGGGTTTCCTGCTGAATGATTTTTGGCCATTTTGAATAAAAATGTGTTTTTTTTGTGTGTTGCCAGATACACAAAAGCTTGTCCGGACTACTCAAAAACTACTGGTGCAATTTCATCCAAACTTTACAGGAATGATCATGTGCAATTTGTCCGGACTACTTCTGTTATGCCATTAATGCAATTTCAATGAAACTTTACAGGATTGATCGATAGCTCAAATTCTTGTGCATATTACACAGGTTTTTAGGTTGAATGTTTTTTTTATGAGCCACTGATGGCCATTGTTTAGTAAAATTTCCTAGGTTTTAAATGTTTACTGAAGCTATATGGATGGATATAGCAATATGAGCGGTAGGCTTAACCATTTGAGCCGCGCCATGACAAAACCAACATGCGTTTGCGACCAGCATGGATCCAGACCAGCCTGCGCATCCGCGCAGTCTGATTAGGATCCATGCTGTTCGCTTACAAACCCTATAACAAGTAGAGAAAGTGATAGCGAACAGCATGGATCCTGATCAGACTGCGCGGATGCGCAGGCTGGTCTGGATCCATGCTGGTCGCAAACCCATTATGTTGGTTTTGTCGTGACGCGGCTCATTTGTGTTTTCTTTAAGTCAAAAACTTTGATGGAGTCGGCTTCTTGTTCCCTGCTGGGAACTGAAAGAGATTATAGCCCTGTGTCACTAGTATAGGACTTATTCAAGACCACACGTTTGGTTAACTTTTCTTTGAGCTAATAAGCATTGTCGGCCCCTAATTTGCTTTAAGGTGCCTTGTTAAAAACAAAAAAATAATGTAACATATGCATGGCTTTTTTAAAAGATCACAATGTCTTGGCTTAAAGTTTAAAATTATGCGTTCAAGATCACAATAACCAACGAATGTCGAGTTTTATGGCCAAATGTCTTAAATATTTAAGTTGCATTGCGATATGACCTTGTCCCACAAGTTATTCCTTTCGTCAAAGGTTTGGCAACGGACACTAAGACAGACTTAAGCGATCATTATAATATTTTCTTTTCAAAGTTTCTGACACAATATATTTGTATTTAAAACAGATCAACCTCATACTGAGCGTATACAATATATTTCGGGCGTAAAAATGTAAAGCAATTAAGTTTTTTTTTAAATCTGATCTTAGATCTAACTTTGTCATGTTCGTATTCATTCAGAAGATTTACAAACTGGCTCGTAAATGAAAACATTAGCTCCATTGGTAACAAAAAATACCCGAAGTTGAGCTATATATTATTCAACATGTATTATACAATCTTGTCATATATTGGTAGCTCGTCGTGTTATAACTATGGGATTCTCTTAATACATATTACACATATTTTTAATATAAAAAAACAAATGACTTATTGAAAATTTATTTGAAAAATCAAAAAAAAAAAAAAAAAAAAATCAGCTGGAAATACAATTATACGGTAAAGAGTTTCAGATTCAGAACCATTTTGAGGGTTAAAACAGTATACCACTAGATTCTTGCCAATTTTTATGACAATTTTGAAAATATATTTAAACTTAAAATATTGTGAAGTGAACATAGAAGGTAATTTACACATTGCAAACGGCACTTACAATCCACTAAAATCACCAAAAAGAGGTCAAAAATATGCCAAAAATTCCCATACTGCGTTAGTCATGCACTAGAAATACCGCAAAAATCATTCATTTATCTAAAATAACATACAAATTATTGCTTGAATCTTTTTCCTTTTCAAAAAATCTTAGTATCCTTTTCCGAAGTTTGTGTTTCTCGAAATATTTTGGCATGCAGCTTTAAGCGAAATTACGTTAAATGGTTTAAAAGCCGGGCCGATATACGACGTGCACGTCTATGACCTCGTGCTATTTCTCGTGCGATCTAGGCCAGGTAACAAATTCATACTGTATTTTTTTCCTAAGGAGTGTGAAAAATGCACTGATATAAGTGTGGAATTTAGCAATCATTCTTAAGATAGCATACTAATTAAGGAAGCGCGTCACGATGCACTAGGACATCGTGCGATCGTACGATATACGTCGTCAGTGGAATCATTTGAGCCGCGTCATGACAAAACCAACGTAATGCGTTTGCGACCAGCATGGATCCAGACCAGCCTGCGTATCCGCGCAGTCTGATCAGGATCAATACTGTTCGCTATCAGTTTCTCTACTTGTAATAGAGTTGGTCAGCGAACAGCATGGATCCTGATCAGACTGCGCGGATGCGCAGGCTGGTCTGGATCCATGCTAGTCGCAAACGCACTATGTTGGTTTTGTCGTGACGTGGCTCATTTTTTCATTAGTATGAACGGTCTTAGCGGACAATTTACACGCAGAAAATGCAGAGTAAAGATCATCAGGTATATAAAAAGGTTCATGGAACGCAGTTGTGCCCTCAAACCCCATCCATCCAACCACAACATACATGATAAGTCTCGGGGTCTCGGGAAACAACGAGAACTGAGATGTCGGGTGCGGGGAGGAGGGGGTATGTTCTAGTGTTTTCTGGTTTATAACTACACGTATTATAGTTATTCTGCTTACCTAAGACCACTCTTATCGCACAGAATGCATCGTTATTGTACGGTATCCTGTTTGTCATGTATGGATATGACGATATTGAGTGACTTTCAAGATGAATACATAATTTGCAGGCACATAATGCCTCAGACAAAAATTAGAAATGGCAACTGTTTAAATTATGATTATAGAGAATGTTAGATGATTGTTACCTCAAGAAAAAGCGATGAATGTGAAATAATTTGTTATGAAAGTAGCAAAATGTAAACGACTTCCATACAAAATACTAATTCACTATCACTAACTGTCATCATTGCCAAAAACCAACATATGAAAAAGATGGTTCATGTAATTGGCCTATTTTGGATACTATAAAAGTACACCAAAAACAAAAAAGCTTTGAAAAAAAAACCTAAAAAAAAACAAGTATTTTTGAGACATAATGGGAATTTAAGCGTAGCGTTATTTAGGATATCGCGGCGGGGGTGTTGATTTATATTTTAGTATCTATAGGACAATCTCGAAGGTCACCAAGGGCACCCTTTGGTCACATGTTAATTGCTACGTTTGTTTTGACAACCATACTAGAATGGCCTCAGTGTGACTGTCACGTTCATAGTAATAAATTGTAGTACGTTAATTGCATGCCCTGGTCACTAATATTAACGTGGCCTTAGTTACACGAAATTATGACATAGTCATGTACAATCACAAGGGAAAAAGTTAACATTTATTCCTTTATTCTTTTTTCAATTCCATGAATTATTAAGCAATTCCCTGTATCTCATTTCGTGGAACTAAAGATTTAAAAGTTCAAGAGTAGTTCACCCTAACGGTACAAATATTTGTCAAATGAATTATAAGTAAAAAGTACAATGTACTTTACTTGTATAGCATTCATAATTTAGACCAAGTAATCAATGTTGTTTTTTTTAACTGTATGTTAACATGCTCGAAGGCTCCCGGGGCAGTGTATGTGGAATTATTTTATCTTTCACAGCAGTATTCTTGCGAGGAACTTTGATCAAATTTACTGAATGTAGGTTGTTTTATTCTGGTTCCTAGCTCGTTTTTCCATAAAATAATGTATGGAGCGTCTCTGGAGAAATAAGTCACAAATCAGAAAAAAGGTCTAGATCGATCTATAAAGGGCATAAATGCCTACTATCACTCCAGGAATTTACATCTTTTTTTACTTTTCAGGGGTCCAATGGATGCAGATTCGGTACGAAAAAAGATCCAATCTCTTACACAGTGGGCCCAATCAATGATTTATGGTGTCCTACAACAAATTCCAGCAGTCCAACTCCATGGGAGGAAAACTATCTGCTGATTAAAGAAAACTATTTATTGTTATATCTTAGATATGATAAACAATTTGTGCACTGCAAGGAATTGAACGTTTTATTATGTTAAACAAGATATATGATGCTGGCATTATATTTTTATTGATCCATTGGGATGCCAGAGCCTAAGCATTGTCATCCAAGTAGGCTTTTAAAGGGTATATTGATGCAGGATCATGCATCCAGTAAATCCCTGTCAGACGGACAGAGTGGCAGCGTGACAGTAGGGCGGACGGACATGGGCAAATCTATATGCCCCATCCCCAAGAAACAAATGAGAAACATGAATAAGGCACGTTTTCAGTCACATAACTCATTTCCTTGCGGAACTCGCCACAACCAGTATGTCAATCGGAACGCCTCAATCATCCGAAATTTGGCGGAAAGGGCCGAGAAGTTGCGATGGATGTGGGGAAATGGATTTTTTTGGCATCAAACTTGATTGTATCGAAACTTTAATATTTCTAAAAGGCAGATGTCAATTTAGATTAAACCAGTATAAACTGCTTCTATACTTCTTTCAACCGGCTGTTAACTGCATAGACCCTTTTTAAGCAAGATTTGTGAAAGCGATAACCATATTGGTACTGAAAAGAAAGATAAAACCGATCTGGGACACTTTGTCTGGAATGTGGAACATATAGTTATACCTTTTCATTTGTCATTTGCAAAATACATGCAATCATTTGTGCTTCATTCCTAATATGGAAGGCCATTTTTGTCAAAATTACCACATATGTATTTTGAAGTATTGCCATTGATGAGCAAACATTTATTTAATTGTGGCGTATCTTGGTCATTATAAAATTTCATCGTTAATAATCAATGTTTGTTTGTTTGTTTAATTTTACGCCTTTTTCCAACAGTATTTCAGTCATATAGGCGGGTAGTTTCCTAACCATCGTTCCTGGAGAGTTACACCAGTACTAGACTACCTTCCTCCGCGCTAAACTACCAAAGCATCTCCCGGGGATCGAACCCACGCCAGAGAGGTAACTGGATTAGAAGTCATCGACTCTAACCCCTCGACCACGGAGGCGGTCGATAATCAATGTAAAATAGCGTATAATATAGATTTATAAGGTTTTACTTCGTTTGCAAGAAATGAAATGTTTGAAGAAATTTGAATGCTCGTCAATGATTGGCTGTTTGAAAGGTCACCAGAAGGTGACAACATATTAATGGTCGTCAGATCCTAATGCGTAGGAGCTGATTTTAATCAGATTGTGAATAGTGTTAATTTTTAATAAATAGAAATCGTCTCCAGTTCAAATATAAAATGAGCCTTGTAACGACAAAACCAACGTAATGCGTTTGCGACCAGCATGGATCCAGACCAGCCTGCGCATCCGCGCAGTCTGATCAGGATCCATGCTGTTCGCTATCAGTTTCTCTACTTGTAATAGGGTTGGTAAGCGAACATCATGGATCCTGATCAGACTGCGCGGATGCGCAGGCTGGTCTGGATCCATGCTGGTCGCAAACTCATTATGTTGGTTTTGTCATGACGCGGCTCAAATGTTTGTTTAATATGAATAGGAAAGTTAACAAGGGAGAATAATGTAGCAAACAGGATCAAGCACCGAACAAAAAGTTAATAACAATCTAATAAAAAACAACAAAAAACTGGCTCAAAGGTGCTGGGGGACGATGAGCACTTTTACAGCATTATGCCTCCAGACTCATACTATATATTTTATCATTTTCTTTCAAAAATGCTTTCAAAAGTAAAATATTGTGAAGTGAACAAAAGAAATTTGCACTTAAAAGATACCAACATTACCAAAATAGGTCAAAATATGCAAAAATAGCCCTTACTGCGTTAATCATGCATCATAATTATGGAAATTAATTCTGCAAAGTTTCAAAATTCAATTGGGCCGCAAACCCTTTCGAAAAAAACAGTGTATCTATGAAAAACTGCATCTGCAGAAACCTGATCCTTAAAAGTTAGAGCCATTAGATAAGAATACAGAGGGCCAAATAGTGATGACAAAACTCTCAACTCAGTGGACGTTAATGGGAGATATACAGTTTATAGTGATTTACTAGCTGATAAGCCCTTACTGAGATTCAGCAGGCTAAAAGACTGTGGTGGCGGTGTTGGTAATTTTCACTCCGGATCACGGCAGTAAACCAAATTTAATTTACAAGAGCATAGTTCAGCCACCGCATCATTCCTAGTCAGGCTGTCTAGCAGTTTACCAGTACTAGTTGCCTCATTTTTCGCAAGGAACTGAAACTTCTGCACATGCCAGAGCAGTGATACAGTGCGAATGGCCATAGAAAATATTTCATGATCAATCATAACGAAAGTGACCTGCACCGTTCGGGAATCCAACACGAGTCGCCCGATTCACAGACCAACGCTGTAGGTATTGAGCTTACCGGGCGGTGATACGCATCTCAAAAAATATGTGTGAGTCCTGTGATCAGCAGAAAATTTCAGTGAAAAGAAGGGCAATTATTTGGGGACATTTTGCGAAAATTTTGGTCGGTCAACCTTATAATATTAAAACAAAATCATTTTAATGAAGAACACATCTTTAGCATGGATACTCATTTTAAAGGTGGGTTTAGGGGCCATTTCCGCTTGGAAAATTAATACAGTAGCCTGAGCATAAAACAGCATTGCCCTTTCTACAGGGGAGTGAAACATATTAATTTCTGAGACTCTTTGTGCCTTTAAGAATTCATTTATTTATTTATTTATGTCGCAATGGATTTCCAAATAATAAGATTAAGATAAGAAAGTCGCATATCACAGGCACAAAGGATATATCCGCGACATTTTCTCGGAAAATAAAAATCGGTTACGTAAACATGCGCACAATCCCCCTAAACATAATTATTTTATATGATTAATTTGAAACGGTAATGGATAATGTACGCGTGTGAATAAAAATAACAACAAGTCATAAACACGTCAGAATAAATAACCATGCAGTGTTATTTATGACCTGTCATACATTTTGGAAATAACAATTATTTATTTATTGTTCAAAAGTCACTATGATTATATATATATATAAGAATCAGGTATCTTTAAAGGCACATTATGTCTGAGAAATAAATAAATAAATTGATATTTAACATGAATTTATAATGTTTAAATAATGGTATAAGAGAATGTTGCATGCTCGTTACCTGAAGTAGCGATTAATGTGAAATAATTTGTCATAAGAGTAGCAAAATGTAAACATCATGTAAGTCATATTCTGACCTCCATACAAAATACTAATTTATTATAACTGTACTTATTGCAAAAAAGCAACAGATGGAAAAGATGGCCAATGAACACCATTTTGGATACTAAAAATGTACACAAAAAAAAGCTTGAAAGAAATAAAAATAAAAAGCATTTCTGAGGCTTAATGGGCATTTAGGTTTTCAAGTTTTAAGAAACAGTTCATTATCTAAATCATTGTCATGAAGGTTTTCAAGTTTTCAGTTTTCTCCCCGCCCTATCCATAACTAAAATATAGAAAAAAATGTCTTATAGATATATACCATGATCTATCAATAGACTATGTATTTTAATTCATTTAAACGAAATCACTAGCTCTCGGCCTGTCCTAAATGTACCTTGTCTTGCGATTAGTTCTGATCACAGTGTCTCTTATGGGAGCCTATATATTTTAAAGGCCCTTTTTGTCTCAGAAATGCTATCATTTTATTTATCAAAAACTGTTTATTTTTGGTATCTTGTTACAAATTCCAAAAACATTCTTAGCTATATACATGAACTATCATAATTTGTATCTTTAGTTCTGTTTGTAATTGGTATAATTATAGTGAAAAAGTATTTTGTATGGCACTCAAAAATACTACTTTGTTTATATTTTGCTACATTTACGACACATAACTGCACGTTCAGTGCTACTTTTTCAGTCTTGAAAATTCAAACATGCACTTAATCCATTATCTAAACATTATTAAATACACTTATGACATTTCTAAAGAATTAAAAAATATGGATATCTGAAGCATAATGTGCCTTTAACTTGTTCGGGAATCCACTTTGGCTATAGACACGTTTTCTATTGTTAACGTGTCTCTATAATTATTTATTTAAAAATTGAATGATATTGATCCTTTTTCAAAAATACACGACCTTGATACTTTGCCAAATGACGACAAACGATCAGCTCAAAACAAACACGTAATAGCAAAATAGTGAATAGTAAAAATATATACTTACGTGTCAACAACCTGCGTTTTGATCTACATATTCTGAATATTTTTAATACTTATAACAGGCATTATGCCTTTGTAGAAAATAACAAAGAACAAAAGTAAAACAAACAACAATATATTCTACGTTGCCCCGAAATCGACTTTGAACTATAAGTGTTTACTTTCTGCCAATACAAAACAATTACGTATGCATTATATAGAAATAATTATGTAGGAATAATAAATAACTTTTCAAGAAGAAATATAAATATAGTTAATCCACAATCTTAAGGCAGTTGAAAAATTACACCCAAATGGATGATGAATAAGCTATGATCTGCGCGGATCCAGAGTGGGAATTAGAGTGGTGGGCATGACTCTAATCCTGGGATTTGCCTAGTATTTGGGACACCCTATTGGGTCTATAAGTCACCACTAAATCCAATAAATCTGTGAACCGCTCTTAACAGATTTGATTTCATACAAACAATGACCTATGCAGAATCGCCACACATACTTTTGACCCTACCTTGAACTAGATTAAACCTTGAACTTCCAAGCTTTATTTTGATTAATTTGTTTGTATTCGGTTTGTTTTTTTCATATCCCCCCAAAGTTGACTATATGTCATAACCTTGAACTGTCAATGAAACAATGACTTTTTTTACGTAAAATGCTTGAGATGCGCCAATTTTAGCTTACACACTGTTTTTCAAAACCAAAATTTCATTTTGTTACAAATCAAGTCTATCTTATTATTTAAGGTATGATAGACGTTTTCTGTGTGTGTTTTTTTCAACTCATGCACAAATCCTATATTGTTGTACAAAAAGCGTGTTCAATGTCATCAACTCATTTAAGCCTTATGTCGATATAATACGAAATCGATATATTTTATTCTTTCATTTAAGGAAGGTACCCCCAGATAACTTTAAGGTTTGGGTATAAACTAGTATGTGCGTAACGGCCAACACGAAATTAAGGCCACTTGTCTGAGAAAATTAGAGGACGAAAACGTATCAGAAAGGACGCCGGCGTGGAATGCACGTGTTATTCAAGGTTGAGGTAATTTGACGAGGGATACATGTTTGAGGGACGAGTATTTGAGAGAATTCAGTGAAGAAAACGTGTTTTGAGGGACTCAACTCAAGGAGGGACGTGTGTTTGAGGAACTGCAAGCAGTGACACGTGACTGTTATGTCAATGAGGCTACTAAAGCTACATCAAAGAAAACTGCTTTCGTCGAAAATATATCTTTTTTTCTGCGACAAAAACAGTCGTCATTGTTTGGCTTTAATGGAAAAATTGGAACCAAACTTGGTCTTACACTGCATATAATTCATTCAGAATTTTGAATGTATTTCATAAATTGCAAGCATCCTACTTTCACTTCACTAAGAGTAACAACCTGTTATACTGTATATTTTTTATTTTCTTTATTCGAGCGAAAAGTTATTATTTCATTACATATACAAGAAAATACGTAATATTCAATTTTATTTTCTGTATTAAATTTTATCAAAATTTGGATTTAAAAAACAACAACTTGTGATGGCAGTGGCCTGTGTAGCGAAGGGGTTCCTTTGCGTATAGGAGTTTTCCTAGCGTTAAGTTTCGTGGGAAATAGTCATGCGTTCGTATATAGTAATATTGACTTTCTTTTTTGAACATAAATCGACAGCAGCCTTGTATATACGAGATTATATAAACGTCATGATTATCTAATGAAAAATGACGTTCATGGTCAATTCCTATGCATCAAAACTCCGAACCGGTGTTAAATAGCCGAAACGATATATTAATGTCTTGTCCTTAAGGACATATATGGAACAGCGGACACATTTCACACCGGGATGTTGATATTAATTTTAAGTAAAGCACGAAAACCAATGAATTGTGTGTGTGTAACCTGGTAAGCAACATACTATACTTGACTTACTCTAGTTTATACACAAAACAAGCTGAAAACTGGCATCTGTTGCAACATGCAAATGTGAATCATATTTGGCCCAAGGACAAGTTACATTCCATTATGCAAATCAACATCATGTTTTGATGGCGGTCGGTACATATTTAGAGTTGTTGATTATAGTATATACTTATTTGCTTCACAACCCTAAAAATTAAAGGCACATTATGCCTCAGAATTTTCTTTAGAAAGGACTCACATGAATTTTGTAATGCTTATATAATGGTATTAAATAGAGAATGTAAGATGCTTTTTTACCTGAAGAAAGTAGCGATAAATGTGAAATAATTTGTCATGAAGGTAGCAATATATAAAGAAAGTCAATTCAATATTCATTCACTATAGCTGTACTTATTGCCAAAAGAAAATATGAAAAATGAAAAACTTTTTTGGTACTATAAAAGTACACCAATATTAAAAAGCTTTTGAGAAATAAAAATAAAAGCATATCTGATGCATTATGGGCCTTTAAATAAAGAGTAAAATATTTATTTGCCAACTTTATATAATTTATTATGTTATTAACAATAACAAAATAGTGAAAACAAAATTTTTGCAATTTGTTCTAGGTTGGTCCCAATTTAAGGCTCCACTGACTACACTTTCATGGTATAATGTTATGTCATATAAATGACTATCATAGCTATATGGTATATTCTTTTACGCTCCACTAAATATCTTAAATGTTCTTGCCCAAGGGAAGTATCAACAAAAATGTAAAGAGTGAATCCTGAATAACGAACAGAGCAGACCATGACAAGCGACCAGGTGGCATTGTCGCCTGCAGGCTAACTTGAGGGCTATATTCCTTCTATATATATAATAAATGTTCAAACCGTGACTAACGCTTTTTCGATTTTTTTCTGTACATCTTATTGCCAAATATTTTTCTATTATTTTGATAGACTGAACTTAAATATTGTTTTGCATCTAAAGTATTATAGAAGGACACGGAGACGAGTTTTTTTAAGATGTTGATTTTGTGATTCATGATTTACAAGATATTACAATACATATGCACTACGCACCCACTTGAGTAAAGCGGAAACGCCCGAGTACTTTTGTTGACTTGTTATCTCGTCTGCATGTTTTGATCGAAACAGACAAAGAATTGTATGACGTAATACCGAACATGCATTTAGGTTACTGTTTAGTGCGAACACATTGACTTGTTTCACAATGAGACGATAACCGGAAGAGCGGTTGTTTAAAGTTCTTTATGAATCAAGTCCACAAACCCGCCTTTGTCCAATAGTTTCATATCTTTATATACATTTCAATGTTTTTTTATTATTTAAATATTTGCCAGAATCCACATCTGAGACGTGCATATGTTTACCTAAATTATACATTGTATATAATATGTTTTTTCCCATGCAATTCGACATGCTTAAATATTTGTATTGACTATTCTGGGCCAGTTCCAGTACTAGTATATGAATATCTTTGGTTATTTATTATACTTGGATTGTGAATAAAAAAAATGCTCGATTCACTTTTTTGTTATATTTGTAATATAATAATTTCTAACGATTCTACAGTATCGCGGTCAGTATTTTCTAGTGAGCAGCGGATCGTTTAGGGGTAGTTTAATCAATTTTACAAATACCTGTAATACTTTTATGTCTTTTAGAGCTACAAAAATACCTTTAGATATATGAAACCCGTTTAGATAAATGAAATAGCCATTAATTTGGAAAATATCGTCGCTGAACTTACCTTCGTTCCCCGTTCAAAGTCGCGAAATGGGATGAAAGTCCTCATAATATCGAGCAATATCCGGAGTACGGTATACCGCAGTGGTTATGCAAGAGCCTTAAATGCAATATAGTTGTTTGATGTTTCTTAGTGCATATAATGTGACTCACTGCCATGTGATAACAATAATAACATAAGTACTGTAGAAGTAGCAGTGCAGGTCTAACACGAAATTATCACGTGATAATATGATATTGATTCAAAACATATTATTCATGCATCGATAGGGTGTTTTCTGTTTTAAACTTTGTGACATTCTCATTTCTCTGGGAAAAAATGCATAAACTTTTTGTGCCAAAGTTGTTGTAGAATTTCCTCTTGTAATTGTATTTATGAATAGAAACACAGTTTTATTATTCCCGATCGTGCCGCTCGTCTCATTGCGATCCAGTTAACAGGAAATATCAATAAAATGATTTTTGAAAAGGAATATGAAACATAACAGAGTTGATATAGATTACATTAAGCTTACTATTACAGTAGATAGTTCAAAAATAAATTTGTAGAGCATATCGTCTTACTTTCATTTAAATTCGGTCAATGTACATGATGAAATATAGGTTACATCATTGCACGAACTAAACTATGGTGTGGTATTTTCAAAATGGGTAGCTGAATTACACATAAGAAATTATAACAATTTCGTTACACGAGTCCTATTATTATGCTCCCGGAGAGCGGCATATTAAAGCCGCACCGTCCGTATGTCCGTCTGTCTGTGCGTAACCACTTACACAACATTCTTGTCCGGATTGTTAACTTGGCACAAAATGTCTACCACATAATATTGATTTGATGTGTCGCGTCTAAGACTTCTAGTTTAAAGGTACCTATTGTCACAAGAAGATTTTGAATGTACGCATTTGTATCCAGACTGTAACTTTGTCATGCATTGAAGGATAACTTGGCATAAATGTCTAGCACATCAAGATGACTTGTCGTGTCCAAGACCCATGTCCCTACCCCAAAGGTCAATAATGAATAGCACTTCATTTCACAAGAAAATATTAAGCAATTAGTTACCTTTACTCTCTTTTCTTTTTATAATAACTTCTGCAATACTAACGAAATTTTTTTGCACAAATTATCAAAATCGTATTTAAATTGTTGTCATCTTTTCGGGATCGAACACTTTCTATTGAAATAGATATTTCAATTGACATTCTTTTTTTCAGATATGCCTTTGGTTTGGATTTTTTTTATTGTAAATATTTTCCCCTCACCACTTTTAAGATGAAATGAGTAAAATTATTCATAATTGATGAAAACATATTTGTTGTTGTTAAATTTTATCTAAAGTCATAAACTAGATGGATTACTTTTGTGAAATTTTGTTTAAGTGTCAAAAATATGATTACGTCCGAGCCAAAAATAGCTTTGCACAAGTGTATCTCTATTAATTTTAAGTAAA